TTTCCTGATCAGTGTAGTCAAAGTCCATTTAAACACAAATTAACAAATGCATTCCTAAATTTCAAAAGTGCTTCCCATTTGTTAACTTTTTGACAACTTTATGTAAAACTTGTATACTTAACATTCACAATAATTTGTCAGCAAATCCACTAATTCATCTTTAATTGGATGCAGCAGTTTCGAAACAAATCCATTTGGCATTAAATTGTCTTGGTTTTTCATTCAGGCTCAACATTTTGGTGCTTTTATGACAAAATGTGGTTGTTAAATGGAACAGTTTAAATTCTGTCACTATGCACCAATCAAAGACAATATTTGCATATATTTATGAATATTACAAGAAACATGACTTGAATTTTCTGAATTAATTTGTCAATGAACACTACGCCAATTAAACATTTTACACCCATTCTGTACTGCAAGCAAAAAGCATGGAACTTTTTAAAGTTTTTGGGGAAAAAAGTATCTTATGCTCACCAAAGCTGTATATATTTGATTAAATATACAGTAACAACAGCAATACTGTCCAATATTATTACAATTTAAAATAACTGTTCTCTATTTTAATATATTTTTTTAATATTTATTCCTGTAATGGCAAGTTTAATTTTCAGCTGCCATTACTCCAGTCTTCAGTTTCACATGATAATTCAGAAATCATTCTATGCCGATTTGTTGCTAAAAAAAAACATATCTTATTTTTGTCAGTGTTGAAGAGCAGCTGTACTGCTTAAAGTTTTAATTTTTTTTATATTTATTTTTTTAAATATTTTTCCAGGATTCTTTGATGAATAGAAAGTTCAAAAGAACAGCATTTATATGAAACGGATTATAAATGTCTTTACTGTCCATTTTGATCAATTTAGTGCATCGTTGATGAATAAAAGTATACATTTTTTGAAAGAAAGAAAGAAAGAAAGAAAGAAAAGAAAGAAAGAAAAACTTACTGACGCCAAACTTTTGGTAGTGTATGCTAGTAGAAAATAATTGGAGCATATATTTAGTATTCATCACTTTGCATTGCTCCAAATGCCCTCAGTGTAGGCATGTACGCATATTACAACTGAATCTTTTTGTAGTGTGAACAGACTTGTTCATTGAAAGAGGAGTATTCTGATTTGTTGCATCATTCACTTGCAATGCAGATACAGAAGCAACTGAATTCATAATCATAAAAATCTGAATCAGCTCATTGCAGGTCCAACTTGTAGTCTGCATCACTTTTGTAATGAAAGTGAAAAAAACATAAATAGACCCTAAGAATGAAAAAAAGCGCTGTAAATAGCTGTAACTTTTGGCAAGTTATGTTCATATAGGCTTTTAAAAAACAAGCACCTACACATGAATAAGATATCAGCAGGGTTTCCGTTTCTTAGAGCTTTACATGGTAGTGGCATACAGGCATTCATACATACAAGCCGCCACACAATCTTCACAGCGTGCTGTCTGGACTTCGTCCTGTGCCATTGTCACACCCTACAGTCTCAATTAAACACACCCTGTTTATTCTACACAGGAGTGACCAACACAATGGAGGCTATTGTGATCAGAATGACACAGACTATGGTACTGGGGGGCAAGCTCTCCTCATCAAGGCACTGCCTGACATTAGCATCACTGTCAATGGACAGAGGGGCCCTAACTGCCCGCCGGCTGCTCTGTGGACTTAAATCTTTCAGAAAGGAGGCGAAGGTTACTAAATGAGAAGGAGTGTGCCAGACCAAGTCTAAGAACACAAGGTTGAGTTGGGGGTTGGGGAGGGCGTGAGGTCTGACACGGTCCAGGCAAATTAAGGAAAAAAAGCGCACATTTGCAACTGAAATCCAGAGCAGTCGCCTATATTTGATTACCACGCCCCGGTGTCACCATGTAGCCAGGGCAACCACAGCGTTATAGCCTCCTGGGGATGCGAGTTGCGCCTCCTGGTCTAACGTTGAGGGCATCAAGGAACAAAAAGAGGCTAACAGCAGATGAGAAATATGTGCAGCTGGAGGTATAATGAGAGGATGGAAGGAGGAGGGGTCAATGAACAAAGGCACTGTCGTTACAGGCCGCATAAAAGCTTGGACATAAAATTTAATTTGCCTTTCAACTGAGTTTGGAAAAGCTGATGAGTTTTACTAAAAAAAATTAAAAATAAAGTAAGCATTTAGCTCGGTTGTCTTTGGAGGAAAGCAACTGCATGTTAGTTTACATGTTATGTCACTCAACCAGGAAAAGTTGCCAAACGTAAATTTGTGGTTTTACTAACAAGACAGTGTTTTTTTAAACCCCTCTTGCAGTGAGAATGAAGAATCTACTCTTCTTTCTTGGGCTGGAAGCCAGTTTATAACTATTGATTAAACTGTTGTTGACTGCTACTTAAAGGGTTAGTTCACCCAAAAATGAAAATTCTGTCATTTATTACTCACCCTCATGTCGTTTTAAACCCGTAAGACCTTCGTTCATCTTCGAAACACAAATTAAGATATTTTTGATGGAATCTGAGAGCTGTCTGAATGGCACCAGGGTGATGCAGAGGAGACGAATTGTTGAATAAAGTTGTAATTTTTTTTTCTTTTGCGCACAAAAAGTATTCTCGTAGCTTCGTATAATTGCGGATGAACCACTAATGTCCCATGGATTATTTTACCGATCTCCTTGCTACGTTTCTGGACTTGGGAACATTTCAGTTGCGTTGCTGTCTATGGGAGGGTCAGAGAGCTCTCAGATTCCATCAAAAATATCTTAATTTGTGTTCCGGGTTTGAAACGACATGAGGGCGAGTAATTAATTTCAGAATTTCATTTTTGGGTGAACTAACCCTTTAACACTTTTTATTGCCATGCACTCATCAAACTTTTGTAAACTATATGGTAAAAGCTTGATGGCAGTCATAAGTGAATAAAACAATGAAAAAAAATATTAGAAATATATGTTTCTCCTTAATCTTTATTTAAAATGATAAAATAAATAAAATAATAATAAAATCAGTTTTTGGTTGCAAGGTTCAACCAGGTTTGGATGTGTTAATAAATAAAGTAATACACAATAAATATATATATATATATATATATATATATATATATATATATATATATATATATATATATATATATATAGGGTAATAGGGTACTAAAGGCCCACCTTAAGAAAAAATGTGCCTAAAATGTATAATTGTAGAAAAAATATATACGTTGTATTGAACATTAATGGAGCAACAGATTTTTGTGTACATACATATATATATATATATATTGTATTTTATTCAAAATGACAATAAACTGTTTTGTCTGCAAGGTTCAACCAAGTTTGGATGTCTTTAGAAATAAAATATTCAATAAAATAAAATTTGTGTTTTGTCTACAAGGTTCATCCAGGTTTAAATGTCTCTATAAATAAAATAATAAAATATACATTTAAATAAAACAAAATAAATATATTTCAGACCTTAATATATGTACATACATACACACACATATATTATATAAACACCCAAACCTGGTTGAAAGAGTGTACGAGTTTAAATGTTTTGCCTGCATTTCTCATTTCTTCAGCTTTTGAGGGACAGCAACTGCATAACAGCCAAGAGCCAGATCTCATCTATCATTGTGTAGAGTCATAATGAGACTAATTAATTTCCCGTTATAATGCCAGGAGAGAAGCAATAAGCAAGGGATCATTTGCTGTGCCCTACAAAAGCCCTCCAGAGAGCACAGCACTGCACAGACACTATTGCCATTCACTACATTAGCGCAGGATTCGCTACTAATGAAGTCTCTTTAGGCAATTGTGCCCTTTCAGATGTAGCTAGCTATGCATCTGAATTCTGTCCACTGTGGATGCAACTAATGTGGTCATACTGCAAACAAAAGCAACTACATGACAACCCTGTTAACAACACGGACACCCTTTTCACTGCCTACGCAACATGACCTGAATGAGTCTAGTCTAAAGTGCAAAAGTAGACAGCAGAACTAAATAATGTGCTCATGTGACACGCTGCTCAGAGTTGTGTACTCGTCCCCAGCTCTTCCTCAAGCACAGCTATGCGTTCACTCGGACCACGTGTCAATGTCACAGACGTTATCTAGCGCCGGAAATAATGAGTGCACGTCCGCGTCAGAACATCCCATTTCATCAACAAGTCACGAGCAAAACTACTAGTCGTTTGCTTTCGATCTCAACGAACGCTTGTGTACTACCACAACAAGTAATAGGCTAAACAAAACAAGAGAAAATAACAGCCCTCACCCTCACATCTCGTGTTACTTAATTGCCCTAGATTCTCACTACTCGACACAAACGGAATATACATATTTGTAACCTTCAACTGTAACCTTTAGCATTACTCTGTTGTTATAGGCGACTATCGCGCGTTCGATTAACGTTCTCTTCGAATGCTGGTTTGATTTCAAAGGCACTTTCGCGACGATTGACGTTTGAATCATAATGTTATTTCAAATAGATTTGATGACTGCATATCTGTCGTGCGTTCTGAAACTTCCGCAGATATAATGTCACAAGAATGCTGAACGAGGATCTTCAGTTAGCGTCAAGCTAATGCGTGGCTTTAAAGCAAAGCAAAGCGGCAAGCTTCTGCACAGCGAGCGAAATAAAACCGCGACGAAAAAGCCCTGGGATATATTTTGTGTTGTGAGTATTCATTCAGGAAAAGTGTACGCATACGACTGGAATGTGGTTGGTTTAATGGCTCGTGTCAGCTCGACGGCAAACGCACGCATTTTACTCAACTAAGTTAGCCAGCAAGATCACATGGTCTAACATGTACATACATTTATTCTGGAAATAGAACAGGCGTGTGTATATTTCAATATGAACGTTTAACTAAAAAAATATTCGTTTAAAAAAAAACGTAAACACAAATTAGGGAGGTCAAAGGCTTGTTATTGGCTAGATTTTTTTTCACGAGACACGTTTTATACTTGTCATCTGATTAAAAACGCGCTGACATAAAAGATTTCCCTTCAGATAAACAGAATTATAAAGCGTTTACTTACATTCGTGCATTCTACTATCGCGTCCGACGACAAAGCTCCCGTGCTTTCATGCGGTAGCCTTTCGCTCGCGCTGTGTCAAAAGATCAGCAGCTGCTTCCTCCATCCACGCCGCACGGCAACGCTTCCGTACCCCCCCTACCGTCGCCAAGGCAACAGGGCCACTTCAGCCAATCACACCCCCTCCTCTCCGATATCCCCCTGACAACTGCCGCATCGCAGTAGCACCTTTTTAGCAAACCTAGCAATTGCGCTCCGCGTTCGTGACGGAAAAACTCGGTGGTATTTCAAACGGTTTCGCTTGTAGATTCAGACATTCTGACATCGTATACTCATTGAGAATTTGCTTCATATTTAATGGCTTTACCAACTTAGACGCTGTTTGACCACCAACCAGCTTACGCTGGAAAAGAGGTCAGATGCTGTGGCGTCATTAGCGGGGGAGTCCTGGAGGCTCGTCGTCCAATCACAAGACACTTCGCGATGTGACGTAGAGGTACTTAAAACTTACCAATTTACATAAGTACTGTGCGCTCCAATGAGATTTTAAACTCGCTGGAAAGTCAGGAGCACGACCATATTATTGTACTTTTTATATACTATTAAATATTTAACCCTTTCGTGCTTAATTTCTGTTCTAAATGCAGCCATAAGTAACTAATAATCAGTCAATAACAACAAAATACGTTTGCGATGTTTTAATAGTTATTTCTAATGTGCGTTGTACATTATGATTGGTTCTGACAGGCAAACAGTTTTCAATACCAACTAAAATAAAGTTTTGGTAAATCACATCTAGCTGTTTTGCAGCAGCAAAGAGTAAATACCCTTCAATCTAAATGGGGTAATTGTAAACCTTAAATGCAGGTCAACTGGCCTGCATTATTTAATTAAACAATTAGAAAGAGGTAAAAGTGTATTAACTGTAGCCTTATTATAGGAGCTGTTTATGCTACCAGTCCATGCATGCTGCTTTCCAATCACATGATTGATTTATGGCATTGAGGTGGGCTGGAGGAGGGTCTTCAGCAGAGGACAGTGAGGACAAAGTTGAGAAGAGATACAGCATGCGTCATTCTGAAGGGTCTCACACAGACATAACATGAATCTCAGTTAAGTTAAGATTAGTGCAAAACTTATTTGTTCATTTTGCTATAAAACATGACCAAGACAATTTTGTTTTAAAGGGGTCATATGATGCGATTTCAAGTTTTCCTTTCCCTTTGGAGTGTTACAAGCTTAATGTGCATAGATAAGATAAAGTTGCAAAGACTAAAGTCTCAAAACCAAAGAGATATTCTTTATCAAAGTTAAGACGCTGCCCCGCCCCCCTAAAATGGCTCGTTCTAACACGCCCCCACATATCTGCCTCACTATGTGGAAATATTAGCATAATGCAGCCCAAATGTGCACGCAAAGAAAGAAGGCGTGGTTTCAGTAACCGCAGTTAGTGTTGAAGCAGCATGTCAGGGAGATGCTGTATGTTTATAGGCGAAAGCAAAAGCACTTTATTTGACCTTCCGAAAGTAGATGCATTTAGGAATCTTTAAGATTACTTACAATAGAACAGCAATGCATTTTATGGACGACCGTTTCGTGAACCTAGGAGAGGAGGTAATTCTGACTTTGCTATGACAATCTGGCGCTTCTGAATCAGCTACTGTTTTGTTATTAGCTTAAGTAAGTGTGTGTGTGTGTGCGCGCGCATGCGTGTGAGAGAGAGAGGCAGGGTCACATCACAGTGGAGTCAGCTGTCTTAAGATTTTAAGTATGTATTCATTTCTTATTTTAACATTATGGCAAGCACTTTTATAGAAACCACACACTCGGCTGTTTATTACAGACATGAAAAACATGAATTTTCCAATGAAATAAGCTAATGTTAAAAATAAAGCAAAAAATGAAAAATATGCTGAAAAATTACTCTCCCTCAGGGTATGCAAGATGTAGATGAGTTTGGTTCTTTATTGGAACAGATTTGGAGAAATGTTTGGAGTAATAATTAGTACATGACTTGCTCGCCAATGGATCCTCTGCAGTGAGTGGGTGCCGTCAGAGTTTAAACAGCTGATAAAAACATCACAATAATCCACAAGTAATCCACACGATTCCAGTCCATCAATTAACGCATTGCTGCATATTTATAAGAAACAAATCCATCATTAAGATGTCCAAAATACCAGTCCATAATTAATCATAACATAATGCATATTTCTCATCTAATTCAAACAAGGTTATACGTTTTCACTGGAGAAAGCAATATTATTGATATTTTTGATATTGAATTGAATAAAAATGCCTCAATGATGGATTTATTACTATTAACAGAATTAACAGATTTTTGCTTGACAAGACATTAATTAATTGATGGACTGGAGTCATGTGGATGACTTGTGTGAATTATTGTGATGTTTTTAATAAGCTCTTTGGACTCTCACTTATTCATTACAAAGAATCCATTGATGAGGAAGTGATGCTAAATTTTTCCAAATCTGTTCCAATGTGTTTGCATGTGCAAATGTGTAACTTTTTCACCCGAACATTGTGTGCCACGTTTTTCCACATAATTACAACTCTGTTTTTGAAAAGTAAGGCTTTTAAGGAATGCTTTTTGTCCTGTAATGTGTCCAATGCTGTCAATGTGCTGTTACCTTTTTGCCACGTGTTTATCCCAGATAAGGACGTAACCAAACATACAAGATTGGGGGGTAGACAAATGTAAGTTGAAGTTGAAGCCACTGAAAACCCCAATCTGATATGTATCTATCAGTGTCTATGGCGGGGGTTATGGCTTTAATCTCAGATGGCTATAGGAATTTATCTGTATCTGATTTCTCATTATTTTTTTAAATGTAGATGTGGGTCCTCATTAGGTGAAAAGTTTTTTTCTGTCTTAAAAAAGACCATCCAGTTTTATATACAATCCAATTCCACTCATTTCCCTAGATAAGCAGTTCAAGGCTGTAAGTATGTGTAAACACTACACACTTCCATTTATTTGGCCTTAAAAGTCTGAACTACCTACCAGTGATGTTTCTGAAATGCTTTTCATTCATTTCAGTTTTTAGTTTCTTTGATTAATGCATGCACAATTTTTTGTGTTTGTGATAGTATTCGACGGAAGCAGTTAATTTATTATTAACACAAACCTTTAGATTACAATGACCCAAACAAAAGTGTGGAATACTATACAAGTACTCTCTCAAAACTGTATCCTTGCATGTAACAGGTTTTTTTGATGAGTACAATCTCAAAGCAAGAGAGTTTGTTTCATTGAAGCCTACAGTATAAAAACAAATCGATCTAATAAATTTAGGCCACAAACAACCTTTGAAGAGTTATGGGTGATGTATTGTCTCAAATAAAATAAAAACTTGGCAGAACAAATAATAAAATACTTGAAACATGAGTGCATAAACATGCCACAAAATATCTGAAGATCAATGCGGTTTAGCAGATGTCTAGCTCTGAAATCTTGTCTAGGTTGTTTGCCGATAGGTGGTGCATATTTACCCAGAAATTGGGAGAGCAAAAGGTTTATGAATTCAGTCAATAATGACTTCTTATCAGACTACATAAAACACACCACTGTAAGTCTCCTACAGCACTTACTTACGTTATTTGCACAAGTGGAGTATCTGGATTAGAGTATTACAGGAAGGCGACACCCGCAATCAGGGTGGTTTTGTCTTATAACTGTAATCGAGTCATGTTTAACAAGCTCTTGAAGGCAGTATACTATTCTGTTGAACTGTAGTGACAGCTGTTAGGGGTTTTCAGGCTACGATTTTATCAGAAAGTAGTGCAACCTATAAAGCATGTGATTAAAACAGCAAACTTCCTCTTCACATGTCAAACAACAAAATGTTAGGAATCAACAAAATCAAGCACAAGCAGTGTTGATCTAATAAAGTTTATTTTCTTAAAAATGACCAGTCTCTGTTCTTTTCCAGGAAATTAAACCCTTTTTAAATTCATACTAGCATCTACATAATGGTTATTGAAGACTTCACAATATATCAAGTCTAGATGTTATGGTACACATGCAAAAAATTCAGGCTGCATGAGAAGCCACAGTCACCACATTACACATAGATGGAGTTTGAGGGGCAAAAAGACAATGGGGCTGTAGAGATACTTGTCTCAGCTTTAAAGAGGCCAGAGGCCTCTGATATAACCAACTCCAGCAAGGCTTTTCAAAATCCCTATCATACATAAGTCAGGCCATGGGCCCAAAAGAATGCAATAAAAATGATTTGAAAAGTCAAGAGGCATTTTCAGTATGCTATGATCACATGGACAAAAATTTACTGAATGAAAATGCTCTGGGGTTGTTTTTAATATAACTCATTTCTTTACATTCTGTATAAGATTAATGGTCAAACATGTTTCAGAATTCTTTGGGCCCTTGTTTTACACTTCAAACCACTTGGAGATTAAAGCTCCAAATATTTAGAAAGGGAACTTAAAAATGAGAAAGATAAATACATCAGGCAAAAATAACCCTTTTTCTGATTATGGCAGCAACAAAGGTGATGCAAACATTTCTGAACCTGCACAACCGTAAATTCCACACTTCAATAGTTCACATAAAAAGTTAACTTAAAAGTCACCTCATAAAAAAAAAAAAATGCTGGAGGACAATTTAGTGTTTGTTTTCTGATCTTTGTTATTCCTCTTTCACAGAAAGAACTTATATGCTGAGACAGGAGTATGATTACAGCAAGCCTAATGTGTGCTAACAAAATTATTAATAACAATAATAATAATATATCATAAAATAAAATAAGACATTCAAATACAGTAAGATTTTTTTTTTGCCTGAAAATACAAAACTACATGAGAAAGCATTAAAATCATATTTGTAGATCAGAAACACATATTAACATATATATAAAAAAGCAAGTGCTAATCACATTGTTTTTTGTTTTTTTTTGTTAATTTTTTTATATCATACATACATTTCAGCACATCTGCTGTCAAAAAACAGTCGCCGGAAGCCATAATGGAATGGCTCTGCCTCTAATCCGAGAAACCACAATCTGTAGCTCGGGTCACGGTCAGATCTGTACAAAAACTGCAGCAGAACTCGTCTTGAATCTCCACATAGCACTGAAGTTGCACAGGGCAGGGCGCACAGCGTCGGACTCTGCGATTGGAAGGACCCAAGAAAGTCTACTCCCCTCCCAAACTCAACACCACTGTGGCACCCACCTCCATAATCTCCAGAATCCTGAGTCAACATATTGCTTCACAATATTTCACTCTTCCAAATCATCCATCACGCTCCCAACCAGAAGTGAAGAGAACTCCTTGCATCAAAACATCTTCTCAGTTAACAATTTACAAGGGAGTCTGCACCCAGTACTGAGGCAGCTTTACGCGGCTTTGGAGTTCTGCATTTCACCTTTCCAAGGATAGTT